AGCCCAAGCGCCGCTCCTTCTTCACGCTCAAGAAGAAGTCAGTGCAAACGCTCACTTTCTTCTACTCACCCTAGCCCATTGCATGCCAACGCGGTTTGTAGCACCACACACACGCACACACCACCTTCTCTACCCCCACCACTCTCTTCTCTAACAATCACTTTTACTGTCTCTTTCTATCTCACTATACCCGTTGGTATAAGAGTGCTAAGGATATCTAATCACATCCCTTCTATTCTTCTATAATCACTCTTCTTAGTAATCTAAGAAGAGTGGTTTTAGTAAATGTCGTTTGAATATATCTTTATCTATAATCTCCATTTCTTCTCTTTCTAAGTGGTAATTAAATTCATTTTAAGATGAGATATACATTCGATATCGATATTGAGATTATCAAAGACCGTTGTTACTAATTTTATTATCAACATTTTCTCTCCGTTTGTGGAAAACTGTTCAATGGAAATTGAAAATAATAGATTTTTCTGTTATGTTAGTAAATAGCCAAGTTTTCCTACAATTATCACACTTCACAATTTTGCTTCATCATTTTTCATTTTTGGACGATTGCATGTTATATTGCATGTTAAAGTCGTAAATAAATCGATAATAACATATTTTATGTTATTAAAATTTTCATTTTTTACATTTATCTATACTATTATAATAAAGCGTAAACACACACTTCTTTGTTGCCTAAGATGTCAGCAATTTCAGCATATTTCTGAATAATTCTATTTAATAAAAAGCACTATATTTACGTCACGCTTTAGGCTATACATTTTCACGCCATTAAACTTAGGGGGTACATATTTTGGATAAAAACCCTAATGTGGGAAAGAGACCATAAGTTGCTGCCAACATCAAGGAAGCAACGTTGCCATGGTCTGACATGTCATGTCATTTTGACATTTGCAATTGATAATTTGACACATGTAAACAACAAAATAAAATTTTCTTAATTTTATGCGAATGAAGTCGCGCGAGAACAGCTATTAATTTATATTTATTACGAGAACAGTTAGTAATTTATAGTAATTTATCAGTAAATTCAGCTAAGCTGTATGCGACAATTAAATCAAAAATATAATTTTTGATTAAAGGATTACAGATAAGATAGTTTATTTTTATTTTTGTTTGTATCAAATGATACTAAAATTGAAGTTTAAACTTGTTAATAATTTATTATACTGTTATGATATTTTCATAGTATATACATTTTCTTTCAAATTCTTATTATACTCTATATGTGTATATGGTCGAGTTTTAGTGTGTTTTACATTTGTTATGTGTTTTTAATATTTTATGATTTGATAATAATATAGTTTGTCTAATATAGATTAGTTTGACAATTTAGTAGGGATGGGTTGTGTAAAGTCAGGCATGAATCTTATCGATTTTTCATAGTTGTAACTTATGAATTTAAAAAAGATCACTGTTTTCTCAAATTAATAATGACCTGCAGAACCATTACAATAATGAGAGTAAGTAAATATTTATTACTACTACAGCCGTACGTAATCGAATTAGATTTCGCTATTATTGTCATCGCGAAATTCTCGACACTATAATCAATACTAGAATTGTCCTATAAAATAGTTAATAAGAAGATAATAATTTTAGTTGAGTTCGATAATTATTTAAACCGAATATCGATAGTTCAAAATTGTTCGCTGCGTGTTTGTTTCCTCACTACGATACCTGTCTATTAAGTACGACATTTGCCTTCATACAAATTTAATTCTATACTTCATATGTGTCATTTATCAAACTAATCTATTATTTAGACAAATTATGTTTTTTCTGGCGTTCTATTCGTTTCGTTATGACATAAATAGCTTGCATTTCCATATCAACTTGCATGTTGTTTTCTAAATTTGTGTTTTGCTTAATTTGTGCATGTCGTAAATCGTATATCGTGGGTGGGAAAGAATTGTCGAAATACCCGTAACAACATATTTTCACTTTTGTACAAGCTTTTATTCTAATTTGAAACTAGAAACATTTGTACGTGTATTTCGCCAGTGGATTTAAGTATTTTTTTTCTTATGATTTTTCCTTGTGTTAACATAATTTATTAAGCAGATTATGCACAATTTTCTTATTTTAGTAAGAAAATATGCATGCATTATTCCACTTCTGAAGTATAAAAAAACAGTCACTCATTCTATTGCAATAAATGATGCAATAGATTTTACAGAAATGTAGGGAGTGACAATATCTTCAAAGTTTAAGAACTTGACTTGTAGAAAATAAGTTCTTCTTTTAATGATCAGTTGAGAAAACATTCATTTTTATAGAAACATAACATTTTTTGGTACTTCTCAATGTTTACTAACAATATCTTGACTGTAGTCGGTTATCGGTTAAGCAACATAATCTAGATTGATTACCGTTTTGCATAATCCTAATAAATTAGGTATTAATCTTAGAACTTAATAGGATCGAAATAACTTGGAATTCCCATTTTCTAGATTATGCATAATTTAAGTGCCAACAGCTAGCATAGTATAAGAAATATTAGTGAATCAATAAAATTAATAAAAAGGAGACTGAATACAGTTTATATGCAGTTTAGCTAAAACCAAATGATTCGACTCATATTTAGTCTTTATTTTCTAAATTCAACCAACCCTCAGTGGGTCAACGTTGACTATGGCCTAGGCCCTTAACTTACGATAGGCTCGGAGCCAGGCGGGGTCGCGGATAAAAGCAAAAGCGTGCTCGTGACCCCAGCATAATGTGTTGGAAGAACAGAGAGGTTTAGTGTGTGTGCCTCGCAAAAAGAGAATCCCACATAACTACCGTATCTCCCTGGACGCGGTAGTATGCATAAAGCATTCTCTGGAAAAAAAGGATCGGAGCCACTAAATGTGAACTTAGTTTTTGACCGACTTCCCAAAAGAAGGAGGTACTCAATTCGTCTGTTTTTTTTTATGTGTCTTACGGCATAACTCCGCCGCTAGTAGACCGATGTTGATAATTCTTTTAACTGATCATTTTGTACTTAATCAATGACCGACTTGTCTTTGTTATATATTTGTAGGCTCACTCTATGCCCGTGAAGAACATCGGGCACTCGTAGGGCGGCCATTTTGCGTCAAGATGTTTGGGCTTGGAGTGAGCCTACATAATAATTACTACTTATGTATGTATGTATATGTAACGGAGGTGTGTGTGTGCAGCTGAGCGCCGCACGTTTCGCATTAGGCGCCGCCCGCCGGCCGCCGCGCGCCCCGCCCCCCCCGGGCCGCGCCGCACAGCTCGGACGGCGTACATTTCTCACGACGCTTGCCGCAGTAAGCTTTGCTAATGACGAAATTGTGTCCCAGCGGCCTTCACTCGAACACATTGTTATATTATTTTTGTTGCGTACAAATGTAACGTTATTTAAGACTGTTCCACGTTTGTGTGTCTGATCCCCGCCCCTCTGTATTTATTGCGCGTGCGCCGCCACGCCCCCCGCCCTCCGCCCCGCCCCCTACGTGTAGTTGTGACATGGAAAATATTCTTTTCATTATTGAATTAAATTTAAATTAAATTTAAAAAAATATAAAGTACATATTTAAAAATTTTAAAAGCGATGCTATTTATGAGTAAAACGAGTTTTAACGTTTAAATTCAGATTGATATTATATACGTATAATTGTTTATAAATATATATCTATACATATATATGTATGTAATTGACATAGAATTTAAAAAAAAGATGTAAATTCATTTGAACTAGAAATGTATGACGTTCTACCTTACAATGTAAACTGACTAGATGTTTTTTTTATTGTATTAATCGACCAAGATATCGTTGCGATGCAGCTGAGACGAGTGTTGCTGAACTCGTGTACACGATGTAAACGCATTTATACAACCTGACCTTTGACGTCACTCGACGGAGTGATATACTTTCATAACTTGACCTACGTAACTATTTAGTATTTATTTCTTATATAAAATGTCTTTACCGCACTCTGGAGTCGCCATTCGCCGTAAGATGTCGCATTTAAATGAATTTTTATCATAAAAATTTCTCCTTTAGATTGAACATTATCGCATAGTGTAGATGTTGCGTGCGGCGACTGCAAAGTGCTTTTGAAATAATTCTTGTAAGTAATGCTTAGCCTCCTCTGCGCTTCGAACTCTTTATACGAATGTTTCGATTTTTCCTTTTTACTGCCAATATTTTTCACTGATTTTAATTTGTTAAGTATTAAATATCCATTTTTTGACTAAAATTTCACTTTTATTAGATTTAACGATCACACATTTTTAGTTCGTACGTATTTTTATTGTATAGAGCGTTTGCGTGCGGTGGCCCCTCCCCGGGAGTTAGTGCTTAGTGCTTGCCCCGGTGACCTGGATTACTAAACACCGTTAGATATCCCACCGCATTGCTGTACATCGCATATATATGCCTATGTTTAAATAATTTTATTTTAAAAAATTTACTTTTTTTGAGGAAAATATAATAAATGATGTTTTCAAATATGTTTGTATTTTTATTTACCTGTCTTTGAACGAAGAGTAATGATTAACAATATTTATGCCAAATAGCTAGTTTTAAATAAATAACGTTTTTGGAGGTTGTAAAAAAAAGTTTTGTGAAAAAAGCGTATATCAGTAATATTGAATTATAAGTATATTAAAATCGTATATTGTTAAAGATTGAAAAAATTGTGTCGGATTTTTAGGAAAATTCATAGATTAATATTTCACATATAACCGAAGAATAAAATAATTTTATCTAAAGCTATATCGATGTGTGAGAAGACGACGTATTTGCTTGTACGATTTACCTGTATAGATAATCGATAAGATTATCAGAAATCTAGATAAAGTGAAATTTCTCACACGGTAACAAACGTTTTCAGATACTTACAGTTTATAAGTAAACGTGTTGAAAACCTTTTAAAATGTTTATAAAGTTAGTGGTGTTTTCTTTATTGGTAACGTTTAGTGCGACAGACGAATGTACCGGAGACTGTGTGATGAACAAAAATGCAAGGATGATAGGCGGAGTTATAAGTGAAGCTAATTCCAGACCGTTTCAAGTAAGTTAAAATTAATATGAAAACAAAATTCCCTTACAATTATCGTGAATGTATAAAAAACTAAATTAGAAGTATAAAACAATAGAAATTATAACTATTAGAATTTAACATACAAGATGGATTAACATATCCAGGAAAGATTAATCTAATAACCAATTTACACTTGACCAGTACAGTTGGACAGTTGCAACGGCCAGTCATAGATTGTATGAAGTCACTGGCGTCAGTTAGCGTTCACTGTGCCAGTGGATTGAGCGCTTCTAACCAACTACTGGCCTAGAGTGAACGCTCAAAGAAATAATACGTTGCAATATAATAACTAGTCTAAACAATTGATTACTGGGTAGGTAGCTCTGTTGTTACGTGTCGGTGTGAACGGTGAGCAAGGATTCTGTGGCGGCGCGCTTGTGCATCCCGAGTGGGTGCTTACCGCCGCCCACTGCTGCTTCCACGACGACCAACAGGTCGACAATGTACAGGTAGGAAGACATCTAATACTGTCACATAACAGACAAGCTCTGCCCGAGACTCCGTCCGATTGAAATTAAAACATCGCCTATACGATTTTCCAGACTATTCTCTACATCATGTCAAATTTTAGTAAAATCGGTTTAGGCCACAAACTAACAAACACCCATCCATCCATCTTTTGCAACTCCAATCAACATCCAAACTTTCGCGTATATAAAAATAAGTAAGATTTTTTACATCGTGTTCTGATTATGCCGTTACAAACATTACAGTATAAAACGTAAACCATGAGATTGACTTACAAGATGTTCCTTTACTTCTAGAAGAACAATATAAATAATTGTGACTACCTATTAGTACGATAGACGAGGACGTTAATGTTCTAAATGAATTCTTAACCTCTAAATATTAAGGATGGTAACCGTACGTGCTACAGGCGGTGCTCGGCGCGCACTCCCTATATGACCGATACGAGAATGGACGGCGGATTGTTAACGTGGAAGAGGTGGTCCCGCATCCCGACTTCGAGCCTCATACCTTCGCCAATGACATCGCGCTCCTCAAACTTGCCAACACCATACAACTCACTGGTAAATGGTTTAAGTAGTACAAATAAGAGGTCAAACGATTGCTGGGAACAGCGATGTCATATACATCCATGGATTTGTATAAAACCAGAGAGATCAAAAATGTATTTTTTTTTTGTAAAATTATTCCACTTATTAACGAGGGTCCAAAACTGTGTATATTCTAGTATATGTTTTTCTTGAAAACGCCTAATTTTCATCTTCAGTCTTTACGTATACTTTCATTACTCTTTTTTATCCAATAAAGTATAGAACATTTTCGTATTAAAATGTATTTGTTAAGCTTTGACACGACTGGAATATTCTAGATTCTTAAGAAAAAACAAAAACAATCAAGTCGCCGAAAGTAATTAAAAATGCAATGGATTATAATGGCTTCATTTATCAGGAACGTCAATAATAATTTAGAATTAAAGGTATTTTATCTGGTCATTTGCAGCGCGAACGTACGATACCATATGCGACAATACGGATTAACTTTCGGATTTATTATCACAATTAATTAAATTAATCCACAGATAAATAAGTAAACATGCATTGATTCTTACATTTCACAATTTTAATTTACAATGTTTTATTATTTTTAGGTTATCTTTTAGTTAACAAATTCCCAACTTACAGATACCATAGACACTGTTCGTCTTCCGTATCAGAGGATATCTTCGTACAACTTCGCGGGAATGGGCGCCATCGCCTCCGGCTGGGGGATAGCCGCAGAAGGTAAATTTTTATACCATATCTTTATGTATTTCTTCTTATCTTTTTTAAAGTCATCCATACTTTCTTCGGTCTGTCTCTACCGAATTTTTCGAATGTGTTTGACTGTATTGGTTCCCTCATACAATACCGGTTTGAGGGCAACTAGTACCGTGAGCAAGAATTCTACGAAGCCCCCTTTTACCATACTTTTAGGGGGTATTTCGGAGAAGCAAACACAATAAATAAATAAAACTATTTAACATTTCAGGTGTTACTTTCGTGTCGCCAACACTCCGTGAGAAGCTGATGACGGTGATGACGGACCCGCTCTGCAACACGTCGTACCTCGGTCAGCTGCCGGCCAACACTGTCTGCGGCTACAGCGGATTGGCTGGTACTTGTAAGGTTAGTCTATTCTCTATTCCCATGTAGTCTTTGATAGATGTATAGATAGGTGCCATGTGTTAAGTTAGACAAGGAAGGATAGAACTAGTTACCCTGAAACCCTATGGGTCTACGACAGACAAGCACAAACATGGTTTATGTAATGCACCAAATGGCATACTTGTTTTCATTTCTTATCTATTCCTTTTATTTTATTTCCTCCTTTTGCCTCGGACTCAATTAACGGTGTTATTGTCTTGAGAGCTTAGATTATTAAGAAAGCAATTTAAGGCGTTTGCAATTTTTTTTTATTTTCAGGGTGATAACGGTGGACCTTTTACAATCGTCTACAACGCAACCGAAGAAACTATTTTGGTAAGAATGCATTTGCATGCACATGCAATGTTTTCTTTTTTTTCTAAAGTAAAAAGTGATCAATTTTACGTGACCTCTTGTTTACGTGGTTGTCTATCAGATCGGCGTGGCTTCGTTTGTTGGCGCGGGCGGCTGCAGTGACGACGTGCCCTCCGTCTTCACACGCGTCCAGCGCTACTTGACCTGGATCAGTGACGTCACGGGAATCGTCATAGACTAATTAAGTACCAGAGCTGTGATATATTTTAACACCGAAAAAAAAATTATCAGCTACGGTTTTTAAGTACGATTAATAGTCATGTAAGAAATGCAAACAAAAAAGAGTAAATGACGGAAAATTAAAATAAATAAATTTTACATAAACGGTTGACTCATTTAACTACCCAAAGTAAAAAAAATGGCTTATTTCACCTTCTGTATCGAAATATTTTTATCATCATCCGAAGAACAGATTGCTAAAATCATATCAATTTCCGGACAACATTGCCAACATACGGATATTGACAAACGATTAATTCGTTAAATGATAAACAAAAACGCTATTAAAACGAAATTCACTAATCTTACATTTTCAACCGAACTTACTTTGCCTTCTGATAAACATATACTTGTGTAATTAAATCGCTTTTTATTAATCTGATAAGATACATTAATCTGGACTTAAATCTTTGATTTAAATAATTTTTGGATGTTTTTTTTTATCATGTCGAATTGATAATAGATTGTATATAAGGGAATGATGGAGTTGGTTTTGGAAAGTCCAAAGATGGGTCCCCTACTGTTCGCTTTGTGTTTGGTTGCGGGTGCTGCAGCGAGGCAGCCTGTGGCACTCCCGTGGGATAATTACCATGAATCGGTCGGAATTCCTCTCGCGTCGAGGATTAAAGATGCCGAGGATGGATGGATGTCGGGGGACTCATTTGGTTCTAGAATAGTCGGTGGCGCTGCCGCACCCCTAAATGGTCACCCTTATCTGGTAAGATTTGTCTATTTTTAATAATTGGTGACCATAATTAAATTAAATGTTCTAGAATATCTATACTAATGTTATAATGAGGAAGGATTTGTATTTTTGGATTTTTGTGTGTATTGAAATAACTCAAAGACTATTGGACCGATTTAAAAAAAAATTGTATCCATTCAAAACCTACATTATCAGTGAGTAATACAGTCATTTACTTTTTTTTTAATTTCACGGTGACGATGTCTACCACTATTAATACTTATAAACTAATGTTACCACCAAAAAATAAAGAATGTGGCAAAAGGCGGTCAGCAGTGCAGGGTCAGTTGTGACCATTCCAGCGCTGGTTTTCAGCTGGCATCTGCACAACAATTTGCTATTAATCATAATGACTATTAAAGAAACTGTAAAGGGATATTATTTTCGACTGTCAATATGTCGTGTTAGAATACGTAACAGCAATGTGCCAGATACCAGTGTTATGACTTTAGCCCATATTATTTGTATGTAATGGCAACACTGATTTATTAAAGAATAAAAATGTGACATCCCTTTTGAGGTCTAGATTCTTTTTATTTCTGTCTGATAATCTTAGTTAATCTACAATAATATTTACTAACCTGAACTTACATGTTTTGACATTATCAAACTTGGATATAACTGTAGGTAGCTGTGGCATTATGAGCGTCGTCTATTACCTCAGTATTCACTCTACTCGTTTGTCCATTCTTTTATAAAAAATACAAAGGCCATTTGATTTATAATATAATTTCTTTTATCGTGCCTTTATCTTAGAAATAGGATTTTTTGTGTTTTTTTTGTATACTTACTATATCACACAGCATTGATTTTAATTGTCTTTTTACGATACGATAACATTTATTATTAATACTACATTGATATCAGCACGTGAATATGTTATCTTTAAATTAACGACAATTTATTTATTGTGCACCTGCTTTTATTATTATTTTTTTCACAAATTAAATGCAATAAAGTAAGCCAGAACTCTCTGATAGTGTGAGCACTTGAAGTATCATAAATAAATATAAACAGACATTTAAATATATACAAACAACAAACATTGGCAATAGAAAATTTTGGCAAAAATTGAAATAATTTACTGATGTAACAAATTTTAGTACTAGCTTGTTATAAAATTTGGTACACAATAGTCGAATGGTTGATTTGAACCCATCAGCATAAACCCTTACAATTTGTACTATTTGCTCTCAGTTTATACCTAAGATTAACTTTATACTGCGTTTATTTGTTATAACATTTTTATTCGTATAAATATTTCCAGGCTGGATTGCTAATCACGTTCTGGAACCATCCTGGAACATCAGCATGTGGTTCTTCGCTCCTCTCCTCCAACCGGCTGGTGACAGCCGCCCACTGCTGGTTCCACTCACTGCAGGCCAACCAGTTCGTGGTGGTCCTCGGCTCCCAGTTCCTCTTCTACGGAGGCACCAGGGTTGCCACAAACAACGTGATAATGCATCCACAATACGTTCCCAGAACTCTGCTCAACGATGTTGCCATGATTTTACTACCCACTAATGTTTTCTTCTCTAGTAAGTTTATCTATACTACTATGTACAAGTACAATATTTGATAATAGCTAATTATGATAAGGGGTTTAATGTTTTAGTAGATTTATCTTTGACGTATTTGTACTCTAATTGTAATACGGTCCAATATTGAAACATTTAAATCTGTAACAACCACACTTAAATCCCAAATTCCAAAATGTTGACGTATTTCTGATTGCTAGTGGCGTTTACGAAGCGTAGTTTTAAGATTCGTTTCAATTTTAGGACGTTACATTTTAATGTAGTTAAGCCTTTATTACTTTAGCTCTTTGTTACTCTCGAATCTTTTTAAAATATATTTTGTACAAATCTATATTTGATCTGCAGACAGCATCCAGCCGATCGCGCTGCCCAATGGTAACGAGCTGTGGGACCAGTTCAGCGGCGCGTGGGCCGTTGCCGCGGGATACGGCAAGACAAATGACCGTCAGTATTTACACTTTACATATGTTTACTAATAGTTTTAGTTAAAACAATTGACGTGTTCTATATACTTCTTTGGGATGTCATCAGCATTATTAAATCATGATGCGTTTAACACATAAACGTTATAGCCGTTCTTCCAGACTATCTTCAACATATATGCCGAATTTCATCGAGATTCGTCTAGCAGTTTAGGCTACAAACTCTAACAAACATCCATCTATCTAAACTTTCGCATTTATAATATTAGTATGATAAAATTATGAAATAGTCAAAAACAAATTCAATTTTTTAAAAATCAAGAAGTTGTTCTTATATTTTTTAAAAACATTGTTTTAATAGACTTGGTGTGTACTTCCAGAGCAAGCGGGTGTGTCGGTGAACTCGTTCGTGAGCCAGGTGGACCTGCAGGTGATCACAGTGTGGCAGTGCCAGGCGGTGTTCGGCAGCATCGCGCAGCCCAGCAACATCTGCACCAGCGGCGCCGGCGGCGTCGGCATCTGCGGCGGAGACTCCGGCGGCCCGCTCGTCGTCAACCGCAACGGACGGAATATACTGGTCAGTTATTTACATAATTATCTATCTTACTAACATTATAATGATACAAAGTTAGAGACTGAAGAAAGTATGAATGGATTGTGTGAAAGAGGATATACTTGAAGGTAGTGTCAAATAAGACGGTTGATAGAAATGTATGGAAGAGCAGTACATATTTGCCGACCTTCTTTAGGGACAAGGCAAACTTGAATAAAATAAAGGATGTTTGTTAAAAGAAACTTCGAAACGGCTTAACGGATCTCAATGAAGTTTGTCACAAACGTAGAACTTAACTTTGTAGTTTTTAATTTCACGCAGACGGAGTCGTGGGCACTTGCTAATACTTTTATTTAAAGTGACGCTTACTTTTCACGCTATTGTATTTAATTTTTTTTATAGGTTATCTCGTAAAACATGCTTTTTTGGTCTCAAGGATCCATTTTACAGGTCAAAATTATAACTTATTTAGAAAAAAAAATTAAATTTGTTTCTTCTTCTTTTTAGGTCGGTATCAGCTCGTTCGTGGCCAGCAATGGCTGCCAGCTCGGCTTCCCCTCCGGCTTCGCTCGCGTCACCAGCTTCCACAACTTCATCACGCAGTACATGTAACTTACCCGATTAAAACAAGTCTAATCAAATGGATTTTATTTATTTATCTCATTATTTAAGATATTTTTATAAGTTTATTCTTATTTTTGAAAAAAAAAAATATACTTGAAAATTAATTTTTTTGTTTGATTCTTTCCTTTATGTTTAAAAATATAAATGCAAATGCGTCATTAGTAGACTAAAAAAGTATAATAAAATAGATATCTTACTTCAAATCTTACTAATATTATAAATGCGAAAGTTTAGATAGGCTACTCTCTTTTTTTTTATTTACCGCGTACGGAATCGCGGGCAAAAGCTAGTTGATTATAATTATGTAGTTTATTGTATTATCATCATACAAAAGATTGGCATTATCTTTGTATGTAATCACGATAAAAGTTGATTACATGTTTAATCCTGAATTTACATTTAATTACAAAAAAAATTACTTTTATTTAAAAAAAAAATTTTTTTTGGTATCAATTTTTTCAACGAAACGTTTTTATTCTACTCAAGTGCTTTAACATTGTTAAAAATAAATCCAAACTCAAACACCTATTTAAAAAAAAACAAAATGATTTTGAATGCATCGGTAAATATAATTTTTGCTTTTTAAAGGAATAAATAAAAACATTTTTCTTTTTTCAAGCTCTTTTATTTCGACCAGGTTCCAATTCCTCGACGTAATAAGATGTCCACATGAAGCTTGTCAAACTAACGCAGCGCAACGCAGAGAGCGCGCGCCTTCACAAATACTACTAAAAATTTATAAATATCACTTAAAGCTAAAATTTTACAAACTTGATATCATCTCGATAAAATACCGTATCTGAGTATTAACCACAAATACGTGTGACTACACAAATAAATTTAAAATGTGCGACACAAGCTGATATTATTTATGTAAACTTCAATACGTTTTTTTTTAATTTAAAAAATAACAGCGTTACATACAATCATGCAAATTTTTTTTTTAATCTTCTTTTCTCATAAAATTTGCTGCCAGAATTAACTTTACGATCGAGAAATAATGCGACTAGAGATATTTTTTATTCTAAAACTAATTTATGGTGCTCTCGATGAGTAAAATACTACATGATTAAAAATTATTAAAGTAGATTCCACCAAAAAAAAAAAGTCTAACTTCATTCGATGTTCCCAAAAAAATGACAAGATTTCATAAAATTGTTACATTCTATTATGTTTTTTAAAATCCAATAAAATATAACAAAGTCATAATAAAAATGAGATAGAAATAATTTTCTACAACTAGAAAGCCGACAATAAAACTATTTACACGCCAACCCTTCAGTGTTACCCTATGAATTAAACTTTACTAAAATTTAACCCTGAAGAGACAATTCCAGTTATATTTGTTTCAAAAAGAATATTTACAATGCCAAAATTAGCGAGACACAATTTAATGGGTAAAAATATATATTTTTTCTTAATAAATAAATTACACAAACTGCTTTTATCAACAAAACATGTTATAATAAACCTAAAAGGAAGCATTAATTAACAAACTACCATAATACGATATCACAGTTCATTTATGCAAAAGTAATTAAAGAATTGATTTTTTACTTAAAATGTAAAAAAATGATTAAACTATAAAAATAACAGTATGGCAAAATCGTCATAAACATTATTGACAATAATCGGGAAAAGTATGGTGCGGAATATGACAACATTAAATTTCGACATAGCAATGGGCGCGTTCATTTTAAAGTACATTTTAGTTGTTAATAAAAAAATCTTTCCAATAAAATACAATAAAAGTTTTTTTTTAAATGTTCCCCCCTTCAAAATGTCTATAATATATTGTAAATAACGTAAATTATTTGAAGTTAGCACCATTAAAATATGAAAAATAATATTTTTTTCGGAATCCATAGACAAGATGTGTGAATCGTTTTTTTTCTAACAAGACAAATGTTGCATTTAGTATTGCGATACTTAATTATTGAAATGGGATTAAATTTGGTGGATGTGTTAGAATGTGCTAACGTCGTGACGTCACGTGCGGCCTATGTCGGACACAGCACCTTCAAGATATAATCCGTCAACAGGGTCGGCACAGTGGGACTGTCTTCGTTTATCGCTTTTAATACTGTAAAAAAAAAACAAAAAATCACTTACACCATCAAAACAAACGGAAAGTAATAAGATATTCGCAAATAGTTTCTAAGACTCACTATTAAAGTCAAATGCACTTTTCAAATAATAAAAAAAATTATACTTAGTTACTCACTTTTAATGAGAATCTGCAGTGACTGGTTGTCCGGGGGCCCGTTCTCCAGCGTGAAGGGGATCACCGTCGTCAAGTACTGGAAACATGACTTCACAATTAATACTATTTGAAGACAGGAGTGAAGTAGAAGCAATTCCGCGTTTCGTCCGAAGAGTGTGGTGTCGGAGGCCCAACTTTAGTCCCTTATCTTTCCTTCTTTTTTCAAAAATTCCTTCACTAATAAATACATAATACATAGGATATATTTTTTTTTAATTACCGCGCACGAAGACGCGAGCAACTGCCAGTTATTGCTAAAGTGCCAAAACATTCGACTAAGAGTGTAAGACTACGCAAATTTGAATTTGAAACTTTTCTAAGGGAATCCCATAACATACTTTTCTAATAACACATTTATATAGCTAACAATGGTAGTGCCTGCTTTAACATGTTAGCTCTGCAGGGCCGACACGACCGGGGTAATACCACGACCACACAGAAGACAGGCGTGAAATCGAAGCAATTCCGTGCTTCGTCTGATGAGTGTGGTGCCGGAGGCATAATTTAAGTCCCTTTCTCTTTACCACCCTTTTCTTATAA